CTTTTGTATTTAAAATATGATCATATATCTACAAGAAAAACAACAACTCTTTAAATAAGACTCTTAAAATAAGAAACAAAATCGAAACACACTTGTTCTATTGGTAGATCGTTTTAGTCGTCAAGTTGAATCGGCTCAAATAAAGTCAAATGTTTTTAACTTAAAGATGTATTGTGTAACTTTTCTCCATGGAGATGTTGTTTTGTTGTCTGGAATGTTTCACAGTATGGCATTAAACCTTTCTATCTTCACTGAGACCAAACCAAACACAGTCACAGTCAGAATGTCTGTTTTTATAGATATTTTTGAGCTCTAAAACCACCTGTAATTGAATAAATGTAAAGTAGAGCTGTTTAATGTCACACTGTGGAACATTCTAAGCCAGGGGTCTCCAACCTTTTTCCTCTGGGGAGCAAACTTTATGAAACAAAAGTGCCAGAGAGCTATTTTTTATCAGTTGCAAGAAATAGAGAAAGTAGAAGAGCCATGGCGAGTTTAGACGGGTTAGACGCCTATGAAACATAAACCATGATCTATTTATTAGTGCACAGGTTATGACTCAATGATACATTTACAATAGTAATTAATCAGATTTTAGTTAATAAGTGCAATACATATAATTCAGAAAACCCTTGGAGAGGTACTTGGAAGGGCAGTGGCAGAGTTAGCAATTTGGCGGCCCTAAGTGAACTTAAGTTTGGTGCCCTTACTAAACGGCACCTTTTTATTTTCTTTATTTTTTTAAATATATTTCTTTTCTGTTTTTCCCCATTGTTCTCGAGACTTGCACATCTCTATTTATTTGAATTATGGTGGACTGGAATCTTGTCTTATTAGTTCAGTCGTCTACTAGAAAACCAGAGCTTAAAGTAGTTTTATTTTTTGCTACAATTACATTTTTGTTTACATCCTTTACAGATGATTATTATTATTTTTCATATCATTATTGTTAAAAAGTAAACTACTCTCATTTCATGTCATTGAGAGAAAATCAAATTGCTCTGAGGCCTTGGCCATTAGTGGCACTGAGGGCAGTTGGCTGGGGGCCCTTCCAGGTTTAGGGGCCCTAGGCAGCTGTTTACTTTTGCTTAATGGTAGCACCGGCTCTGTGAAACGGCGTGGAGAGCTACTGATAGCTCCCAAGTTACAAATTGGAGACCCCTGATCTAAGCAGAACAATGACATCCTCATAGAAACAAGCAGATGACGGACCCCAAACCAAAAAGTTACACAGTGCACCTTTACTTCATTTGAACTTTCTGAGGTATTGCTTTGTGCAGTGTGGACTCGTTGGCGAGGAGCTTGAAGTGAACAAAGCTGCACCACACACAGAGAGGTTTTGATCTTTGCCCCACATGATCAAACATCTGAAAACTACACGTCCCATCCCGCTACAGGGGCATCTCTCCTCCATTAGCCTTGGCATCGGTGAGGGGCCCCGACTGGGACTGGCCCCTGACTCTCTCCTCGCGTCACACGTCAAGACCCCACCCGCCCCGCATCAATCCTCAGACCTAAGCACCTCTGAGCAGACGGAAAACCAGCAGGGCCCGGGGAGGGGGGCTTGCCCCGAGCCTCTGCCCCACACAGAGGCCACGCGGCGGGGGTAAGTGGGGCCAGACCTACAGCAGGGCCCCAAACCGGCCCCGGACCTCCTGTGGCTAAACCTCTGGATCAGGTCCTAATTCCATCCCTGATTAATGACGGACAAATGTAAGTACGGATATGAGGGAGAAACTACAGCAGATCTGAGGGCGGGAGATGGACAGTCTGTGTGAGAAACTGAAACACAAGAAGAAGAAGAAGAAGAAGAAGTAGTGTTCTTTCTTTTGGCACATTTGAAAAAAAGTTTCTTCATACATGGCACTTACTTGATACTCAGTCCTGATTCTGATACCACTATAATAATAAAACCCTTTTTCTTTAGACAATAGAATGTGATTTTCCACATTAAATGGAAGAACTTTCTTTTCTATTCCTATTTCTATTCTTTCTTTTCTATTATATTGGAGTTATATGTGTGTAATCCCTCAGTGGTCCATAGGTGTATACTAGTCTATGTGCTCTTCTTCTTGTTCTGATACAAAGAAAGATAATTCATAATCTACACTGTCCTACAAAGACAGAACGTCGTAACATCATGTTTGATCAAAAATGAGTTCAAGTCATTTTGAGGGGATTTGAAACCTCCTTTATCATCAGTCTCATCTTTATCATTATTATTTATGATAACATTTATTTTTATCGTGAATATCGTGAATAAATATCCTGAAAAATATTGAGCTGTAAATTGACCTTTGACCCTTATCTGTCAGTTTCTGTCCTCTGTGTTTGTATCATGAGACAAAAATAAGTTTTCGTGCAAAGGCCAAAGGCAGAAACACTTTATGTTTTGTTTGTGATTTAGTTCATAAATATATTTTATTTTAAAATCCAACTTCTGGCCTCCTTCTTTTTGTTGCAGCCTTTGCGTAGGATCTGAACACATTACATAAATAAACCTTTTGTATTCAATTATACTTCAGTAAGTCAAAGTATTTATTCATACTGTACACACTTTACTGCAAAGTCACTTGTGTCAAACTGTTTGACTGTGTAAATGTTGCCGCATGATCCTGATCAGCACTAAACAGGAAATCCAAAACTTTTCTAGATCATTTAAACCAGGCATGTCCAAACTATGGCCGTGGGCCAAATGCGGCCCTCAGACAAATTTTTCTTGGCCTTCAGGCTTCCAATGAATTGACACAAATTACCTTGCATCAATTAAAAATTTACTTTTTACTGCAAGGTTTTCATAACTCTACCTTGATAAAGCTAATATTTAATATTTAGTGTGTGGACAAAACAGAAACTTTGAAGTCCAATTTTCCAGAGAGTTTCACTCTCTGGGGTAAAGCTCTTTTGTCTTTGTAGGGCAGTATTCTAGTTCTAGTATTAGCTTTACTGTCTGATTTTCTGTACTTTTGAAAACCCTACAGCCCCATGACTATATATATACATATATATACACATATATACACATATATATATATATATATATATATATATATATATATATATATATATATATATATATATATATATATATATATATATATATATATATACAAACACAACAAAATATTCTCTTATTATTTAGAATTCCTTTTAGTTTTGACTACAACACTACATGTTGTGAAGTGAGAGACCTGTAGTACCTTTCACATTTTTATGCTTCTTGTTGTGTTAAAAATGTGAACTTTGAGTAAAATCCTATATTAAAACTTAAATTATAATTCTTGTAATTATAGTATAGTCTGGATAAAAAATAATAATAATCTTCAAAATCACTAAATTCTCAGGTGAGCGTTAAAAAACAGTCTAAAAAATATAACAGTGACAAATTGAGTCCATGATTCTGTAAACAGGTAAAAAATAAAAAAAATAAATCCCTCAAATCAAGAATGTACAAATCACAAATAATTCTTCTCACTTTCTCTCTTTTATTTCACAGTTCCGTGGAAAGATCTGAGTCAGGAAGCGCATTAGCATGAAGATGGCGCTCAAATTTGGGTTGGGAGAATTGTAATGGTCTGTGAGGAATAGGCTGAACGGGCATGTGTAATAATATTCATAAAAAGACCGCCTATTGGGGCCGTGCGGGTTCCATAGCAACAACATACATGCTCTTACAAGTTGCATCATGGGAAATTCGCTCTGGGTTGGGATTGCAAACAAGAAAAGACCTTTAACTAGGCCAGAATATAAGACAATAGCACAAACCCTCCTTCTATTGTCTCATGTGGGGCCGCTTTCAAACAGCCACTCTACTAGGACGAGTTCATTGCCAATTTTAAGACCTATATTCCAGTAAAATTATAATTATTTGATTTTTATTGTATGCTGGGGCCTAATTTTGATAATTAAAGGGTCCATATTGTGCTATTGTCTAATCTATGTATGTATTATAATGTAGTTTCCTCATCACAAACAGACCTGGAGGTGTATTATGTTTCATTCACACACGTTTAATACACAAACATATTTGTATATTTACGCTGAGTTCTTTTCCACCTTGTGATGTGGCAATACAAGAACAGTGTTTTTAAACTCCATACACCTTCACTAGAACATTGTTCCCAAAGACTGGGTCTTGACCCTCAGGTGGGTCACAAGAGATTTTTTTTGGGTCACATTGTCATGATCTGCATGTAGGTTGAAATGTTAAGACATGTTTTTTTTTATTAATTTCTGATGTTTTAGTAATTATTTTATTGACTGTTTTGTTCCAGTATTGCTGGTTCAATTGAATGTTTAAAAGAAAAAAAAAAAAAAGTTCTACATTTAATGTTCAAATAGGCGACTTCTGGATCCTTTTATTGCTGCTTCAGTGATTTTCATTGTTGTCATTGTTTCAGACTTGAGTAATATTAATAGTTCAGAGATACGATCACTCAGTCAACAATAAAATATCCTCATTAATGTTCAATAATGATCTAATCCACCTTTATTTTGTGATTTACCAATAATGTCTTCTGATTTGGGTCACGAAGGTTTGTGACTTTTAAAGTATGGGAAACACTGCACTAGAACCATCTGGATAACTTCGGCCCTGGAATTGACCATTTAAACTAAATAAAAGATTTTTTTTTTTTTTTTTATCTGAAAACTACCACTTTATGAATCACAAGGTGCAACAGAGCATTTAGAGCTTGTAGACAGATTTGAGATGTAGACAGACGACACTGTCCACTGTCTTCACTGTCCAGCTCCAGGGAAAAAACATTAAAGGTGCACTGTGCATGTTTTTGTTAGAGCGCCTGCCACTTACTTGTCTCCATGGAGATGTTATTGCTTTACCTCCAGTATTCCAAAGTACAGCATTCAAATATTCAGTCTCCACAGAAACAAGCATGAGATGTCACCAGCACAATTTACAGGTGAGATCTGTGAAATGGCGACCCCACTCACAGTAAGAATACAAGAATTTTTTAGCAATAAAAACACCCATAATCAAATAAATGCCAAAGTTTAATGCCATATTGTGGAATTTTATAGGTAAACAATAACATCTCCATGGTAGTGGATCACCAATCTGAAAAGTTATGCAGTGCACCTTTAAATTAGACAAAGAGAGTACATGGAAAAGTAATTTGTGAATATGCTGCATTGCATTACATCTGAAAATGCATTTGTTGGAATTGTAGGGAGATGCAATAAAAAAAATAATAATAATTACAATGCAATTTAATATTAAAGGAAACAAAAGTTAAGTGAATAAAAGTTGTGGTCATTTGCGGTCTGTTATGAACCACAGAAAACCTGGACTAATAAAGATGTGAAAAGTAAGACAATACTACCCTCTTGTGGTTGCTTTGAGAATAGCACAATGAGGATGAATGAACAGTGCTGGAAGAAGTGACTTATGTAAAAGTACAGATACCAGAGCAAAGAAATACTCAAGTAAACTAACTAACAAGTACAAGTATTTCATGTAGATTTTGAGGTTTATTAAAGCTTCAAATGTACTGATTTCGATACAGATTTGTGCTGAATTTTGTTCAGTACAAACAACAGAATCCATGCTTTTTGTCTAAAATAGAACTTTGGACTTCCTGTAATTTACAGCATATGTTAAGTGACTCAAGTCCAAGTCAAGACCTGCACGTCCCCACCTCAGATAACTGTATCAGAACACAGTCGCTCAAAATACTCAAAGTGAGTATTCCGAACACGTATTTTCAGTATATGTATTCAGTTACTTCCCAACACTGGATGTAAATGCTGAAGTGAAGACAATAACATGTACTGTAGCGTTCTTATAATGTTTAGTGCTGTTCATTCATGGTGTCTGTGTTTGATGGTGCACAGGACTCCACTCTTTGGTCTGAGCGTCCCTGTGTCTTTTATGTCAAAACTCTGTCCTGGGACCAGCGTGAAATCAAACCTCTGGAGCAGTTTGGCCATCACCACCTTGGCTTCTATCTGTAAAAACACACACACAACACAGTATAATACTCACAGTAACTTTACTCTTGAGGGTCATAAAGTAAAGAATGATCATTTACCTGAGCAAAGTTTTGGCCAAGACACGAGCGAGGGCCGAGTGCAAAGGGGTAGTAGCAGTAGTAAGGCCTGGAAAGGATTGTCATGGTGATGTTAAATAAAGCTGCACTATGTAACTTCTCTAACAGAGAGAAACTATCTGCTTGTCTCCATAGAGATGTTATTGTTTTGTCCAGAATGTTTTACAGTATGGCATTAAACCTCTCTATCTTCATGGAGACCAAACCACACCAAGTTACAGGCCAGATCTGTGGAGAGGCAACCCGCTCACAGTCAGAATGTCTGTTATTCCAGTTATTTTTGAGCTGTAAAACCACCAGTAATTGGATAAATGTAAAGTAGAGCTGTTTAATGTCACACTGTGGAACATTCCAGACAGAACAATAACATCTTCATAGAAACAAGCAGGTGACGAACCCTAACCAAAAAAATTACATAGTGCAGGTTTACATAAAAATACAGATACAGAGGTAAAAAGTTACTCAAATAAAACTGGAATAAAATGAAAAAAATAAAATAAAAAATCTTCTTGAGTAATGTACTTTAAGAGTAAAAAGTAAAAGTATTCCACAAAAGTGTTCCTAATTTGTTCAAATGTAAAGATATTGATTAAAAAACATACATATTTTGGTTAACAGCATGAATGAATTTCTTAATTTTTCTTATAAAGTTCCTGAAGCTTCAAGCCGAAGCTTGAACTGAAAAAATAAATAAATAAATAAAAAAATATATCACAATGTTACCACAAACATGGTCAAATAATCCCTAAAATCATATGAAAAGTCCTTTTTACTTTTCAGTCCAGCTCACAAATGTAGTAGAGTAGAAAATAGACACCTGCTTTTAAATGTAGTGAAGTAAAAGTAAAATGTATCCACTGTAAAATTTACTCAAGTAAAGTACCTAAAAATTAGTACCTAAAAAAGTACAGTTCTTAACTTCCACCATGATCATGTGTCACAGTATAGCATTATTCCACCTCTTCGTCTCCATGGTGATGCCACTAGGCCATGTTACACGTTATAGAATGATTTTCTGAAAGAGGGAGTATTATGCAAAATCAACTTTTTGTACTTATCATGTTCTAACAGTCGCTCAACTCAAAAGTTTTATATGTCCTCCGTGCATGTTTGAGTGATCTAGTGATCTCTCCTGGGCCTGTTTCAAGCCCATCTTACAAAACAATACAAGATAACATAGTGATCTAAATATTGTGTGTTTTAAACGAATTATATAAATACAAAATAGATACATTTAATGCCAAGCTCTGCAACAAACCACCAGAAAATGCATGTTTAACATAGAAATACATAGAATTTGCATTGCATTTGTAAATGGACAGTTCTTAAGGTGGAAATATGCACATGACTATATAAATGGTTAAGTGGCACCATCTGCTGGACATAGTAGGAATAAACAAAGTGAAACAACTACAAGAGTAAAACCTGCAGCAGTGTCTTTACATGTCTGTGAAACATTCCAGACAAAGCAATAACATCTCCATGGAGAAAAGCATCTAAAAGGCGATCAACCAAAAAAGTTACGCAATGCACCTTTAAAGCAAATGACAAAAGTGTTTCTTACTTGGGAGCATCAGGATGAAATCTGTCTGGGTCAAACTTCAGTGGATCTTTGAAGAATTTCTCCAACCGACCACCAGTGTAGCTGCTGAACTAAAAATAAAGTACAGACAATAATTATATGTGAGGGGGAACATATGTTTTCTATACAAACTACACTAAAACAAAAGTGAGAGGAAATATTGTTAAAGGCTCTATATTACAAAAAATTTACTCTGAGCTTTAAGCCATGTTAGAATGTTGTTACCTCCTCAAAAACAGACCTGGAGTTGTTTTCATGTGAACAGCTCCTTTTATCTTCAGTTCAGTAAAGATTGGCATCTCCAAGGCTGCATTTTCTAGTGAGGGTCTATGGAGTTTAAAAACACAGTGGAGCACTTCCTCTATTACCACAACATTACAAGATGGCTGGAGTGTTTTCCAAATGAGAAAACTAATCTGTAGGGTTTGTGTGTTAACCATGTGTGAATGAAACAAAACACAACTCCAGCTCTGTTTGTGATGAGGAAACAACATTAGAAAATAGATCAGAAAATGGCGTAATATGGCCCTTTAATGCATTACAATATTTTTCTTTTTTAGCCAAAAAATGTCCTCACCATAATTGTCACTCCTGCTGGGACATTGATGCCTCCTATCACCATGTCTTTATTCAGATCACGGGACGTCCCAGGGGCAGTGGGGTACAGTCTGAGCGTCTCTTTCAGCACCTGTGTACATATGGTGATAAATCATATTCATTTTGATTAGGGCTGGAAATTCATTTCATTTACCGTGACTGTAGGTCACACCTTTTTTCATGGTTTGGGTGTTTCCTGCAACTTATACTCCAGTGAGACTTATATATTAAAATGTTCACACTGACAGCCTGAAAGGCTTTAGTCTTGTGTGTGAGTATGTGCTGCTCCTGTTCCTCCTGTACCACTGTCACTTCACTCTACTGCACATGTCTCCTACAGAAAGAGCCTCTGTCCTGTCTGTATCATGTCAGTCGATCGCACCATTACTTCTGCACCACTGAATAATTTAACATTTAAACAAACTTATAAAGACAACCAAAACCATCCTGTTGGGATTCAGAAAGGCCGGAATAATTCTAACTGGAACTGATGCTGAGTCTGACGACAGCGACACAGAAGAGGAAGCGACGCTCTGTTTACCTCCGGAGGTCGAGGCCGAGTTGTTCAGAAGTGACACCGAGGATGAAGAATTGAATGGATTTAGTGATTTGGAGTGAGATGGAGAGTTTGGTAAACTTGTTCTGTTGTTTATGTTATAGTTTATCTGAAGAACTGTTCATATGTGACTTTAACAGTCTGTTGTTCTCTCTTCTATTATTTTTACTAGAACTTAACTTTCAACAGGAAATGTCGGTTCCTGGTCTCTGATTTTATAAAACAAATTTCTCCAAAAAAGTGCGAGTTATATATGCTTTTTTTTCTTCATTACACATTTTTTGGGCTGGTGTGACTTATACTCCAGAGTGACTTATAGTCCGGAATAGACGGTACGCTCATTTGGTCAGTGTATAACTCATTAGATTCTACATACGTTACATTCAGTCTGATGCCCATAAAACAAAACATATTCAGTCTGAAGAACTTCACAATCAAATCAAACACTAAGTCAATGAGGTGCAGGCTGAAGCTGAAGCTGAAGCTGAAGCTTATTGTGTCCACCCTTATCTCCAACTACAGCACGCTAATGGACATTCATCTACAAAATGAATACAACATTATTACATTTTACTACATCATGATGAAACTAAAGTGTGCAATTATTCTAATTATCACAACATTGTCTTTACTGTTGTTATTCTTTCAAATATGTTTCCATTACTATTCTCTTAAAAATGATTTGAATTGTATAAGAGTGGTAGTGAACTTTGCTTGATAAACAGTGTTCCTCAGAGTCGTTCTTACATGTGGCCTGTGGAACAATATACATTATATTTACTTTCTCTCTGAGGGAACATTGCCTGTAAAGAATGAGGATTTTCATCACGTTTGACTCTGTACATGAACTCAGCCGTGTACAAATCGACCACAGTATTTTAAAATATTTGATTGAATGAACAATGAAATCACAGAGTCTCTCACGATACGACACACGATACATGACTCACGATACGATATTATCAGGATATTACGATACATGTGATAATCAATATATTGACACTGAGATATTACTGTTTACTGTTTAAGAAACAAATACTTTTTAGCAACAGTATTTCTTTGTTAAAGCCACTGCTTGTTCAAAGTTAGAAAGAGTAGTAAATACATTTATTTTAATCAGCAAAACTGTGAATATGTCAAGTGCATTGCATAAACTCTTTTACTTTCACTAAATAAAACTAAATTATCATGCACTCAACACAAAAAAGAATAAAGGTGCATTGCTGAACTTTTCTGTTTTTCCCTGATAATCTACTGTGTTGTACCTGTGAGAGATACGTCAGGTTTCCCAGGTCGTCGTAGCTTATTTCTCTCTTCATTCCAATGACTTCATCCACCTCTTTCTTCGCTCTGGGGAGTAATAACGATGTAATTCAAAATGTTTTGTACATGTAAATGATCTGTAGTTATTTAGTTCACGTCATGATGTCTGTACTTCTCTAAAATATCCGGGTGTCGTCCCAGTTCCATGATACAAAAGGCGAGTTGATTGGCGGTGGTCTCCTGGCCTGCAATGATAATAGAACACTTAGTAATAACATGATAATAACATGGTAATAACATGGTAATAACATGGTAATAAAGACAAACATGAGGCAACTAAGCAAAGCAAAAGCCCTCACCTGCGATAAAGAAGGTCACAAAGTTGTCCAACATAAACTCTTCATCCTCCTTGGTCATGCTTTCCTCTGAAATAGTGGAAACATGGATTCATTAAGATGCAGCAATATAAGGAGGAGTTCTTCACTCGTCCAGGACACATTTAATGGAAAGAAGAGTCCAGACGACCAGATGACCAAGAAACCTTCTCTACATTTCAACTTGAAATCAAAAATGTAGGGTTGACAAAGTTGCCTTTTGGTTGAAGGAGGAATAAATATTGACATAAATGACATATCTCAGGGCAACAGTGGTTGGTTGCTCTTGTGCATATCCTGCTCACACACTGAGCAGTTTTTGAAAATTTTAGTTTTTTGTAGCATAGTTTTTAACATCATATGATTATGAATTTAACCAAGTAAGTAGTGCAGCATGTGCAGTTCAAAGAACACGACAAAGAGACTGTTAGATTGTGTGTTTTTTCCTGTATCCATGGAAACTGTGCAAGATGCTAGCTGAGGAGCTAGTTGAGAAGTTAGCTATGGATATTTGAGATGCTACAGGTGTTTTACACCATATGTAGAAGCAAATGTGACAGAAGACCTTCCAGAGGAAATACTCCAAGGGACACTCCCACATTAAAAAGAAAGTAGAAGGGCTGAATTGTCAAGCAAAAGTAATATCCTTTGTTTGCAGTGGCAGTGTTTTGTTATTTGTTGTGTTCACCTTGTCCGGCTGATTTGATGATCTGTGTGAGAATGTCTTTGGGCACCTCCTCTCCGTTTTGCATGGCCGTCTTCCTCTCATTGATCCACTGAGCTCCAGTGGAACGCAGCAGATCACAGGCTTTCCTCACTTCACTAATGTACGACCAGTTCTGAGGTCTGAACTGAAGAGTGTGAGATGTTTATTAAAATATACAAATGTCAAAGTGAACACAGTAAATACATTTCACAGGAGCATGAATATCACTGACCTCGAAGGTTGCATCTCGGACATAGTGACACATTCCTTGGAGACACATCTCGATGGCTCTGGGGAACGGTGAGGAGTACCTAAGCAGGTCCAGATCAACTCCGAACGCGACCTGAGGATGAACAAAGAGTTATATTTTACTCCTTTACACAAGAAGAAAATGGATATATGACTGGGCTATAGTCCCCAGTGCCCCAAGAACTGGAACAAAGACTTTTTCTTCTGTTTTTTTAAATGCCCCAACTTCATCTAGAGCTGTTTTCTCTTAACCATGTAAAAATGTTAAAAGTAAATTCAAAATATTCCTTTTTAAAAACAACATAGACTTTGAAGCACATGAACACAATGGTTTACCTTAAAGGGTCTATATTATGCCATTTATACATGGAGATGTTAGGGCATTCAACTAAAATAATTTATTCCATTACAGATGTTTGTATTGCTAAAAAACATACATTCTTACTGTAAATGGACTCACCTCTCCGGAAAGATATGTGATGGACTCCCCTTACAAAAATTACACAGCACATACACACGCTTTACCTTGGCGATAATGTCCAGTGCGACGCAGTTGACCAGATGGAGCATGTTGGCCACAGTTTTGTTCTCTGCCTCTTCAGAAAGCTTCTCCATCAGTTTGTCTGCTCTCTCATTAAAGGTGCTCGTCAAACCTCTCAGATATCTGCATTCAAACAGGACAATACTGAGGCCCATTTACTATTACAATCAACATTTTATATTGAATGTTTTTATGATTTTTTTGTTCTGTTTTCAGGTTGAGCCAATCACTCCTAAAGAGAAGTAATTTTGCATTTGGAATCTGCTCGCACACACCCAAGACTGTGCAGCCTTCAGTGCAAAATTTGAAAAAAAAACGTCACCAACTGGCAAACAAATTTGGACTTGGTACCTAAAAATGCAAAGATGAAGGCTGCTTATGCAAGACTAAAGGATTACATATGTGTGCGAGCAGATTCCAAGAAGCGAAATGACTTCTCTTTGGAGTGAACGGCATGGCTCAACCTGAACAAAAATAAAACATTAAATATAAAATCTTAATCATTTTCTATACATTCTGTTCGTATTGTGTTCGTATTTACCCCCTCTATATGATCCTGCGTTTTTAATTTGCCATTTTGCCCGTAAATAAATTACTATTCCTTATATGAACCTCAGCTCTAAATTCACTCATAAAACTGCTCGCCTCGTAAGCTTCATTTGACTGGAGCCGAACGCCATGGGTGACGTCACACTCTCTACTCTTCTACACTTTTATAGAGACCCTGCAGTCACATGACCGTTTTTGTTTTGGCCGCCATATTGATGGTCCCGACGATGGCAGCTAACATTCTAGTAAAATGGCTTATCTGTGGTCAGGTCATAAATTCCTCGATGTATGGCAGCCAGTGTGCAAAATACGGGAGGTGCTCCCCCCATTAACCCATCACACCCCCTAAGAAGAAGAAAAAAAAAAGTCCAGATGCCATCCCATACAGACCCGGACAAGGTCAGCCAGATGTTCCCGAGGTTCCTACAATTGCGAAAGGTATCGATGTCCCCATTAAAACCGTGAGCTGTCCTCATCTCAAGTTATCGTCATGAACTCATAAAACTCACCGCATCAGTCCGGAGCAGAAGCACTGAGGGAAACAGCAGCAGCAACAACACTAAAGACACGACAGCACTCACCGTAGCGCAGCCCCTCAAGACGGGATTGGGGGTCCGGTCCTTGGTCTTGTGCCATCCTCCGAGCACGTTTGTCGGATAGGTCCGGAGGCTCTGTCCTCCATGTCCTGGTTCCAGACAGAGGCAAGCAAGACCAATGCGCAATGGACTGGGTCCGAGCGGTTCCATGCTGTCGTCTGCACGCTGGTTCCGTGCAGGGAAGCAAGAATGCGCTGTGGACTGCAGGTCCGGGCGGACTGCTCTGGCTCTCCGTGCTCAAGGACTGTTTCTGAGGTGGTGCAGCATCCAGACAGAAGTGTGAATCCCGGTTGGTTTGTTATATGTTGTTCTGAGCGTCTGTCCACCGCACACTTGGTTCTTCCTGGGAAAAGGGCTTCTCAGGCCGAGGCTCCTAACATCACTCCCCGCTCCAGCTCGTCTAAGTCCGGTCTGAACCGGAGCTGCTCCTGCTGGTTCAGGACTCTGGTTTGGCTCTAGTCCGGCTGTAGCATTTCTCACACTAGGTTAAATCCAGTTCATTTTATAAAATGAATCAACTGAATAGGGCCTATTCACCTATTCAGTTTAAGCTGTCTGTGGCATCCATCGTGGTGTCTCTTTCTTTTTTCACATTTGAGTCTGTATCGCTCAACAATTTGGAGATGGGGACCCCCGAATATTGACGGGTATTTGGCACACTGATGGCAGCTCCACTTGTCTGTCAACTTCAACCGGGATCTGATACAACTGAACCCCTGTGTCTTTATCTTTCTGCTGATTACAGATCTGTGTGCAACACTTTTCCATTATGTCTTAATCTGAAAATTAAAGAAACGACTTGAAAATGTGCTAACTTTGCAATGGCGCTCTATTGGCGGTCTGGCTCGCCGGAAGTGGATCAGGGCAAAGTCACATGCAGGTTCTATATACAGTCTATGGTGTCACCCCATGTTCTTCATAATATAAAAATAATAAATTATATTATAAATAATAAGTAATCATTGTAATAAATACAAGTATGTGCAGTTGTGGCTCACAGGCTGCTGAAGGCGGGGTCCATGATGCGTCTCTGTTTGTACCACTGCTCGTGGTCTCGCGCTGTCACCAGACCATTCCCCAAAAACCTAAACAAAAATAGAAAAGATATGAAGCAAAATAAAGAAAATACAGATTAAAAAATGACTGTGTGTTTAGACTTTTACCTTTGACCGAAAAGGCTGAAGAGACGCTTGTAGAGGAATTTATCTTTGGGGTATTTTGAGGACATGAGAATCTCCTGAAATGATGTCAGAGAAAAGTAAAAGGGTATAAATTAGAATTGTATCAACCAAGAAACTAAGACTGGACTCAGATTGTCAGTATTTTTAAATTTTCATGACCAAACTAAAGCTCAAATGAATGTCTTTATTTAGTATGATAAGCCAAGGCTGAAGTTTTTTTTTGTTTGTTTGTTTTTGTTTTGTTTTGGTATCTGTACTCATCCATCCATTTTCTTCCACTTTATCTGGGATTGGGTCTTAGGGGTATCAGTCTAAGCAGGGACTCCCAGACTTCCCTCACCCCAGACACTTCTTCCAGCTCCTCTAGGGGGACCCAGAGGCGTTCCCAGGCCAGCCCAGAGACATAATCCTTCCAGCGTGTCCTGGGTCTTCCCCGGGACCTCCTCCAGTGGGACATGTCCAGAACACCTCCAGAGGGAGGCACCCAGGAGGCATCTGGAACAGATGCCCTCCCTGTTGTGAAGAACCAGCGGCTCTACTCCGAGCTCCTCCCATGTGACTGAGCTCCTCACCCTATCGCTAAGGGAGCACCCAGCCACCCTGCAGAGGAAACTCATTTCGGCTGCTTGTATCCTCGATCTTGTTACAGAGCTTATACCCAGATCTTGTACCCAGAGCTCATGTGGGGAGGAACGTAGAGTGATGGATACAGATCGATACAGTGACCGCATTACTGCAGAAGCTGCACCGATCCACCTGCCAATCTCACGCTCCATCCTCCCCTCATTCGTGAAGAAGACCCCGAGATACTTAAAATCCTCCACTTGAGGCAGGGACTCTCCACCCACCTGGAGAGGGCAAGACTCTTTTTTCCAGTCAAGAACCATGGCCTCGAATTTAGCAGAGCTGATTTTGATCCCAGCCACTTAACACTCAGCTGCAAACCGCCTCAGTGCTGCAGGTCCTGGCTTGATGAAGCCAACAGGACAACATCATCTGCAAACAGCAGAGATGAGATTATGTGGTCCACTGACTGTGCATAGATTTTCTATCCATAAATTCAGTGAATAGAACTGATGACAAAGGGCAGCCCTAGCAGAGTCCGACATGCACCTGGAACAGGTCTGACTTACTGCTGGTGTGGTATAGGATTTTGACCCAGCGGTCAGGTGACCCCAGGGTCAACATAACAATTAGTATGTTGACCCTGGGGTCAGAATCCTATTATGGTATGTTGACCCCCCTATAGAATATTGACCCCCCTATGAAAATCTATATTTTATTAATAAAGAACTTGAATTCTATAGAAAAACTTTGAACATTAATACTATATTTGCAAAGTAATACAAATTGACATATTTAAAAGTGTTTTTGAAGAACTCAGATGCATTGATTATAACTACAGAATGTTAAAAATTACTTTACTATAGCAGTATGTTGACCCCGGGGTCAATATACTATGGGGGTCAAAATACTCTCTCACACCGGCAATGGACACAGCTCCTGCTCCGGTCATACAGGGACCAGACAGCCCTTAGCAAACTGATACTCATACTCTTACTCATACTCATACATACCCATAGTACCAGACACAGGACACCACGAGGGACACGGTCGAAAGCTTTCTCACAAAGCACATGTGGACTGGTTGGGCAAACTCCTATGAACCCTCGAGCACCTGATGGAGAGTATAGAGCTGCTCCAGTGTTCCACGGCTGAGATGAAAACTTCACTGCTCCTCCTGGATCTGTGGTTCGACTATCGGTTGGATTGTCTTCTATAGTACCCTGGAACACACCTTACCAGGGACGCTGAGGAGTGTGATTCCCTTCTTAAACAGAGGGCCACCACCCCGGTCTGCAAGTCCAGAGGCACTGTCCCCAATCGCCACATGATGTTGCAGAGACATGTCAGTCAAGACCCACAACATCCAGAGACTTAAGATACTCAAAATGGATCTCCTCCACCTCCGGAGCCTTGCCACCGAGGAGCTTTAACTACCTCAGTGACTTCAGCCAGGGTGATGGATGCGTCCACCTTCGAGTCCCCAGCCTCTGCTTCCTCCTCAGAAGACATGACGGTGGGATTGCGGAGATCCACAAAATATTTCTTCCACCATCCAATAACATCCCCAGTCAAGGTCAGCTCTCCCCCCGCACTGTAAACAGTGTTGCTGAAGAACTGCTTCCCCCTACTCATTTAATCCCATGGGTCACAATAGTGGCCTTAAAAAAAAGTTACATTTCTAAGGCTATAAAAATGTTACTGAATGATCTATTAATGCATTTCCATCAGATATTGAAATATATGATAAAGTGTCTCAATGAAATATGTGCAGTGTCGCATGTTTACTGTAAATTGTCACATGACCAGAGCTGTTTACTTCCTGTTTGCACCAAGAGAAGAGGATGGCAGCAAGAAAACTTCCAAAGAAAAGTTTAGTAAAGTATGTTAACATAAAGACAGGACATCTTTTTGGTACACACCATGCGTAAGGTGTCTAGTATTGATATTTGCATTTGCAATTACTCAACTTTGTTTAATGTGGTCACAGAACTCACAAACATATCAAACATGTCACCAGCAACAATGGTGACTGGTGGGATAACCCACTGTATCTATATGTAATACACAGAGGCTAACTGTTCTACCTGCTGCTACCGAACTGTCTACGTAATTTTACACACAGAAACACATGCACACACACACACACACTCACATGCACACACACACACGCACACACACGCACACACATACAACACACACGGACCCTAGGTAGAACGAGCTAGCTAACTACCAAACTTTCTGCTGTGTTTTCTTTTAGATTTACAAGTTCTTGATTTGTTGGATCAAGATGAGTTCCCAGACAAAGCATGCAGCATTGCAGTCATCCCTCAAAATGAAAAAGATGCTGTACTCAGTGATTGTGACAGTGATGGGCTTGATATGGACTATGAAGGGGGAAATAGGCCATTTGCCAGCAAGGCAAAGAGAGATCACAGTTGAAATGTCCAACTCTACTCCACCCAGACCAAGGGAAAGCAACTGAATCTAAGTATGGATGAGCTCCTCACCTTCTATGGGATCCCAATTGCAAGTGGATACAGCTTTGTCCCAATAGACACATGTACTGGTCAGTTGACATTGATGTGCACGATAAGAGCATTTCAGGTGCAATGTGGAGAAACCACTTTGATGATATAATGGAGCCATATTGTGGATCACACACTCTCCTACCAGAGACAGGGTTGAGTCAGGGACCCAGCGTTATCATAGGTTTGGCAGAGTAATCTCAGGTTCCTCAAGGTTGTAAGTTCTTCCATGACAACCTCTTTACAACTCTTTCACTCATGGATGAGATGACAAAAAGAGGATATGGAAGCTTTGGAACCATGAGGCAGAACCGCCTGTTTGATGTCCCATTCACACCACTGAATGCCTTCATGAAGTTACCCAGAGGAACCTCTGAGGTTCTGTGCCAAGGAGAGAAGCTGCTGGTCCGTTGGAAAAACAACAACATTGCCATAGTGGCAACAAACATGGCTGAAAAATACACTGAGATCTCTGTCAAGAGATGGAACAGGCATCGACGTGCATTTGACAACGTCCAACAACCAAAATGCATCAGCTGATACAATAAGCACATGGGTGGTGTAGACCTTTACGACCTACAAGTGTCACGATACCATATCTCAAGCAGGTCAAAGAAGTGGTGGTGGCCCATCTATGCATGGGCTATCAATAGTACTCTTGTAAATGGCCATCTCTTTTACAGAGATGTTATTGGAGGGATCATCGACATGCTCACCTTCTCACGGAGAGTCTCACTGTCTATTCTGCAAAGGTTTGGATGACAAAGCTTCCAACTGGCCAATTAACATGATGCACCATTTCCAGAGATGTCACCATTGTGAGAAATGCACTATCTACGTATGTGAGAAATGCAAAGTACCACTGTACATTGAGTGCTTCAAGCTGTACCATGGAATGTAGAAAACAGGCAAGACAGCAGAATACCGTCAGACAGAGTTCACAAGTATGCAGACACACACACACACGCATACACACACAGACACACACACACACTGCACAGGTCAAATACACCTATATTCAGTCTGTCCAATGGTTGATACGACACAGTATCTCACCGGTCAATTATGACCGATCATAACACACACTTTTTCATACACTTTTCCATGAAAATTTCTAAAAAAAATATGATTGATTGTTTGAAACGCATACTAATGACACATGTTTTGGATATTTTTGTGTCTAGGAGAAATTTGGAATTAAATGGGTAACAAAACTGAGTACTTCATTGAACACTGTGAAGATGTTGAATGAGGCTTACCTTTGTAGCCTCTGGGCAGTGCACTCCAAGCAACACATAATGTAGTATATTGATCCTGTACACTGGTCCATATATCTCTGACCTAAAACAGGAATTTATTTACTTTACAAAACATGTTACTATGGCAATAAGTGAACCAATACTAGAGGAGAGTGCAGAGGGCTGAGGGGGACATGGTTACACAATATTAGTAATATAATTACAGGCTAAATGTTGAAACACACCCCAAACCTACTACAACTAATAACATACAAGAGAGTGTAGTATTTTCATTTGTTAAAGGGCCAATATTACTCTCTTTTCTCATCTGTTATATTGTAGTTTCATCACAAACAGACCTGGAGGTGTGTTTTGTTTCATTTATACATGTTTAACACACAAACCCTGCAGATTTTGGTTGAGTCTGTCTCTCAAACACTATTCCACATTGTGATGTCATGTGGCAATGCAGGAAGTGCCCCATTAAAGGTTGTATAGAGGATTTTCCAAGGAACGAGAAATCCAGCGATTGTTTGTCCTTTTTCAAATGTTGCGTATGCGTGAAACCACCCCCCCTCCCCTACAGCTCCCTACGTAGAAACGCCTCCTCCCGCCTCCTCCTTACGCCAGAAACAGGTTTGTTTACAGCCGGTGCGCTGCACATGACTTGTAAACAACTAACTACAGTGTTGGTTAGGCAAGACGGAGAAGTGAGGAGCGGGGGGAGCGGGTGCGCGGACATTTCGTGCGCGGACGAGAAGTGAGGAGCAGGGAGAAGAGCGGAGCAGGGAGAGGAGAGAGGAGAGGAGAGAGGAGAGAGGAGAGGGGAGCGGTGCGCGGAGATTCCGTGCCCGGAGAAGTGAGGAGCAGGGGGAAGAGCGGATCGGGCAGCGGGGAGAGGAGCAGGAAAGGGGTGCAGAGAAGGTTGCGCAGAGATTCCGTGCGAATGAACTAGCTACAACACGCAGCAGCAAGCGGATTCTTTGCCTTGAAAATTACATTTTCAGACATAGGATATCGCTTTCGTGTCCTGAAAAACGTTTGTCTAGCTCTTGGAAATAAAGTACGTTTTTATAATAAGCAGAAGTGACCTGTCCAGGAGTAATTTGGCGACCAATGCGTCAGTCTTTAGACCCTGCAGACGCAGGGTCTAAAGACTTCAGTTGCGCCATCGCTGGAATGAATCTCCAAGAATCACCTTAGTTTGGCTTCGCTGCTTTTCCCCTTGTCTTCTTCTTTCATCGACCTCAAAAACTGACTTTCTTTTGCGGCGAACTGCTCCTGGATTCTTGTCGCCATTGCAACAAACTTTGTGCGAACTGCGAGGAAGATATAGGTCAAAAAAAGCCGCTAAGAACTGTTGCGTTGGTGGAGTAAACAGCGTCTGTGCGTCTTGCGTCTGTGGACTGCGTGACAGGTCGTACGTAAACCACGTAACGGCAGCGCGCAGGCAAGTCAGTTACGCTAGAAACGTAGGGAGTTTGATTGACAGCCTGTCAGCTAACAGATAACGAGGCAGTGTCGTTATCTATTGGCAAATGTTTAGCCCCACCACGTCCAGAGTTGATTAATTTTTATTCTCTTTTTTTTGGTCATCATAATTACAAGGCTACTGCATCTCTATAATGCTATCATTGACAACTTGAAACAAAAAAAAATCCTCCATACAACCTTTAAGGTAAAATGCAGTTGTTAACTTCAAAACTGCCACTGCATGACATCACAAGGTTGACCAGAATATTTGGAGCTTTGGAGATGTAGACAGACTAATAATAAAGAGTTACTCAAACACGAGTTAAACAAAATACAACTCCAGATTTGTTTTTGAGGAGGTAAAAATTACAAATTATAAAATGACTTAAACATCAAATGAGTTAATTGTGCGTAATATAAGGACCTTTATGTGTTAGTAGAAAGAAAACGTCATTTCAAAGTGCGTCAGTGTTGTAATAAAACCCGCACTTTAAACTCACACTTTTACTGTTGCGTTTTTCTCACCATTCTAGAAACTTGTCATGAACGACTCCATCCTTTTTCATTATCTCCACCAAAATTGGAGAATGGCCCAAGAGAAAACTGCATTTAAACAAACAAAACGTGCAAGTTATGAGAATTAGGTAAATTTACGCGCGCAGCTTTCGTAATTCATAACGTACCTGGTTCGTGGCGGTCCAGGGATGTGGTCATATTTGAGATGCTGGTATTTGATGTAAAGACAATATCCGAGAAACGCAAAGAAAAACACGCACAGAGACAATGGAAGGACCCGAGGAAGCCAGTTTGACAGTGCGCTTACGATTGCCATGTTGGAAAATGACCCTTTACCTGCACCGTGTCGGACTCACAACTTCCGCGTTATGTGTCCTGGCTTGATCCCGGTTTGGTTCTGGTTTTGGACTAGTTTGTCTATGCAGAGTTGATTTGGTCTGGTTCTGGTTTAGGTCTGGTCTAGCTCGGGTTTAGTTTCGTGCAAGTCCCAGTTTAAGTTCTAATCTTTAGTTCCAATTGTGTGAAAGTGTGAGCGCTCCCTGAGGAGTTACATAATTCCGAGTTCACAACAATTCACGCAAACAGATGTTGGAGACATCGGCTGCTTAAAGGTCCAACATTTCGCAAAACTGACTCTTGTGAGCTTTAAGTCACGTTACAATGTTATTACCTCCAAAAACAGACCGGGAGTTGTGTTTTCTTTGTTAACTTGTGTGTTAACAATTTGTTGGTTTGTGAATGCGCTGTGAGTAAAAATGCATTTGTTGAAATTGTAGGGAGATGCAATAGAAGTAATAATAATTACAATGCAATTTGATATTAAAGGAAACAAAAGTTAAGTGAATAAAAAGTTGTGGTCATTTGCGGTCTGTTATAAACCACAGAAAACCTGGACAAATAAAGACGTGAAAAGTAAGACAATTACTACCCTCTTGTGGTTGCTTTGAGAATAGCACAAAGTATGAATGAACAGTGCTGGAAGAAGTGACTTAAGTAAAAGTACAGATACCAGAGCAAAGAAATACTAAAAAAGTGGACGCATGACATGAAAAAAATCGAGTACAAATACATGTTTAAAAATTTACTTAAATAGTAAAAGTATTTTACGCAGATTTTGTGGTTTAATAAAGCTTCAATAAAGTATTTATCTATTGTATCTGTCCATCATGACAGTGCAGTTTTTGAAGACTGGGTTAAAAGTAGTAGTAGTAGTATTAGTAGTAGCAGTAGTAGTAGTAGTAGTAGTAGCAGTAGCAGTAGAAGTAGTAGTAGCAGCAGTAGTAGTAGTAACATTAGTAGTAGTAGTAGTAGTAGTAGTAGTAGCAGTAGTTTGATCATGATAGAGCACTTTTTGTGTGTTACGTGGCTGATGATCTTTTGCTCCAGTTATTTCTGATTCTACGTGACTGAGGTCAAGTCAAAACACACACACACCTGGTTAAAGGTCTATTACGTAACATTATGTGGGGGGAGGGTCTTCATCTGAGTTTGAGATGTTTATTTACCTGAAATGTTCCACAGTATGGCATTAAACTTTTATTTTCATCTCCACAGAGACAAGGAGGCAACACCACCAAGCCAAGTCTATGGACAGGCAGGAGCACTACTCTCCATGGAGACAAACTGACAGCAGACTCTCCACCAGAAAAGTTACATAGTACAACTTTAAAACAGTACAACTTCCTGTATTTTTAATTACTGTTTTGATTTTGATATATGTAATATTTAGTTTAGATCACGCCTGAAGTCATGTCACAAATCACCTGAAAACAGAAAAAATCAGACACTTTACATTAAAGTCCTTTACTTGCTGCTGTGTTCACGACACACGTTTTAAAATGTGTATGACAGGTTGGACTAAACATTTTACTGAAACACACTTAATGTCATTATATTTACAATTTAGTGCAAAATGTTTGAATTTTTTCCCCGCTTTGGCCATTTTCATAAAATTTGACTTCCTGGTTGGAAATCATGACATCACATAAGGGAATTCCATAACTGTTGCCAAGCAACTAATATACAGCACACAGACATGATTATTTAACTAATACAAATAGAAGAAAAAACTTTTATTTTGTTGAAATCATGTTTAAAAAATCTGAAAAAAAAGTGCATGCATCATGGTCTACGTACTTTCCTCTGTTTTACTGTATTGTACTGTATATTATTATAAAACATTTGATGATCCAGTATCACAGTACTTCAGTTACTGTCGCCATAGTAACAAACAGAGAAGTGAGAGGGACATGTTCCAGTTTGTTTGTGTAAAATTAAACACTGCATGTATCGACTGTCTTTTTTATTGAGAAGCATCAAGTCTTCAAGTCACAGAGTCAAGTCCAAGTCAAGTCCCAAGTCTCAAGTCCCAAACAGAGTCAATTTTATCAAAAATGTGACTCAAGTTTGACTCAAGTCCAAGTCATGTCCTGCAGTTTCCTACCTTGCAGGAAACTATAACAGAATAGTTACTCAAATTAGTATTCAGAATTTTTTTTTGTTGAAATGTTAATTTTGTTGAAACAATGTTATAAATATCAGAAAAATGTGTGTCTTTAGTGTAAATTGTGCTGAAATTCTCCCAGTGTGATTTCATAAATATGGAACTCTCTAAAACAGAACTTTGCACTTTCTGTAATTTTCAACATCTTTTCCAAGTCCCCATCTCAGATAACAGTTACTCAAAGTACTCAATAATATTCAAAACATGTACTCAGTTACTTCTCAACACTGGATGTAAATGCTGAAGTGAAGACAATAACATGTACTGTAGCATTCTTATAGTGTTTATAGTGTTTTTATAGTGTTTTATAATGTTTAGTGCTGTTCATTCATGGTGTCTGTGTTTGATGGTGCACAGGACTCCACTCTTTGGTCTGAGCGACCCTGTGTCTTTTATGTCAAAACTCTGTCCTGGGACCAGCGTGAAATCAAACCTCTGGAGCAGTTTGGCCATCACCACCTTGGCTTCTATCTGTAAAAACACACACACAACACAGTATAATACTCACAGTAACTTTACTCTTGAGGGTCATAAAGTAAAGAATGATCATTTACCTGAGCAAAGTTTTGGCCAAGACACGAGCGATGGCCGAGTGAAAAGGGGTAGTAGCAGTAGTAAGGCCTGGAAAGGATTGTCATGGTGATGTTAAATAAAGCTGCACTATGTAACTTCTCTAACAGAGAGAAACTATCTGATTGTCTCTGTGTTACTGTTTATTCTATTTTTGTTACTTAACGGAGCACTGTCACTTTCTGGTTGGGAGTCCGTTAACTGCCTGTCTCCATGGAGATTTTATTATTGTTATTGTATTGTATTGTAAACCAGACCAAGTTACAGGTCAGATCTGTGGAGAGGTGACCCCGCTCACAGTCACAACGTCTGTTTTTCTAAGTATTTTGGCAATAAAACCACCTCTAACTGAATAAATGTAAAGTAGAGCTGTTTAATGTCACACTGCGGAACATTCCGGCCAGAACAATGACATCTTCATAGAAACAAGCAGGTGACGGACCCCAACCAAAAAATTACATAGTGCAGTTTTAAGTAAAAATACAGATACAGAGGTAAAAATTTACTCAAATAAAACTGGAATAAATGGAAAAAAAACTTCTTGAGTAATGTACTTTAAGAATAAAAAGTAAAAGTATAAATGTAATGATATTGATTAAAAAAATATACATATTGTGGTTAACAGCATGAATGAATTAATTTCTTATTTGTTCTTATGAAGCTGAAGCTTCAAGCTGAAGCTTGAATTGAATCAGAACGTTACCACAAACATGGTCAAATAATCCCTAAAATCATATGAAAAGTCCTTTTTACTTTTCAGTCCAGCTCACAAATGTAGTAGAGTAGAAAATAGACACCTGCTTTTAAATGTAGTGAAGTAAAAGTAAAATGTATCCACTGTAAAAATTTACTCAGTTTTTACACAGTACTTAACTTCCACCACTGATCATGTGTCTCATGAGTATTATTCCACTGCAGTGAGTGCTACATTGAAGAAACAAAACAGACACTTCACAATTTACCGACACAGAAGAGAGAGCAACACGGGACCTCAGTCTGCTGTTCATCTGCACCTAAAAGCCACGAGCCACTCCTCTGAGGACAGTGAGGTACAGATCTCAGTCAGAGAAAAGAATTGGTTTTGAAATGGGAGTTTAAGAAGTTTTTTTTTTTTTTGTTAAGACAGACAATCCATCTCTAAACAGAAATGGGGGACTCAGACACCATCTATCTCCTATTTACTACTCTATCCTCAAACTTAAATCAGAACTAACAAGAGAACAACAGGTGTATCCAGGTCAGGTCCAGATGTGTGAAAGCTCCATTATGTCCCTTACGCTAATAAGACCCCACACTCAGTGCAGTTCAATAGGCTTAGCTACTAACAGAAACTGCAGCAAGTAGGTGTGTCAGTTTCAGAGTAGTTTCACTTTAGTTAGCTCGTCCCTGCAGGCAGATATAAAGAAGTACCCACCAGTATTCTGACCAGAACTGAAGAAGCAGCTTGGATAAGCTGTGAAACATATTCGACCAAATACATTTTTGTCCAGTTGACAAATTACCGTGGATTCTACCTGGACGACTGAGGGATTTTACACACATTATTCCACCTGTTTGTCTCCATGGTGATGCCACTAGGCCATGTTACACGTTATACAATGATTTTTTAAAAGAGGGAGTATTATGCAAAATCAACATTTTGTGGCTTTCTATCATGTTATAACAGTCGCTCAACACAAAAGTTTTATATGTCCTCCGTGCATGTTTGAGTGATCTAGTGATCTCTCCCATTCCTGTTTCAAGCCCACCTTACAAAACAATAAAAGATAGCATAGTGATCTAAATATTGTGTGTTTTAAACGAATTATAAAAATACAAAATAGATACATTTAATGCCAAGCTCTGCAACAATCCACCAGAAAATGCATGTTTAACATAGAAATACATAATTTGCATTGCATTTGTAAATGGACAGTTCTTAAGGTGGAAATATGCACATGACTATATAAATGGTTAAGTGGCACCATCTGCTGGACACAGTGGGAATAAACAAAAGTGAAACAACAGCACAAGAGGAAAACCTGCAGCAGTGTCTTTACATGTCTGTTATAACATGATTATTAGCATAAAAATGTTAGAAGTGCAACTTTTCTGGTGGGGGGTTCGTCACCTGCTTGTTTCTCTGCAGGTGTCACTGCTCTGTCTGGAATGTTCCACTAACAGCTCCACCTTACATTCACTTACAGGTCATTTTATTGCTCAAAAATCCATAATAATACAAATATTTAATGCCACACTGTGAAACATTCCAGACAAAGCTATAACATCTCCATGGAGATCTAACAGGTGCTCCACGAGAAAGTTACACAATGCACCTTAAAAGGTAAGTAAGGTGTTTCTTACTTGGGAGCATCAGGATGAAATCTGTCTGGGTCAAACTTCAGTGGATCTTTGAAGAATTTCTCCAAGCGACCACAGGTGTAGCTGCTGAACTAGAGAAAGTACAGACAATAATCAAATGTGAGGAGGAACATATGTTTTCTATACAAACTACACTAAAACAAAGGCTCAAATGATCCAAATGATTCTAGTGAAGGTGTGTGGAGTTTAAAAAAACACAGGGGAACACTTCCTGTATTACCACATGACAACACAAGGTTTCTCTGTTTGAGACAAGAACTCAGCCTAAATCTGCAGAGGTTTAGTGTTAAACATGTGAGAATGAAACAAAACACAACTTCAGGTCTGTTTGTGATGAGAAAACTACATTAGAACATAGATCAAAAAATCTTGTCATGGGCTCTTTAATGTCTTCAGTGGTAGTCCAATGAAGTTCATTTGGTCTTCCAATAATTTATCTTATTAAGTTCTAAGAGTTTGTTTTCAATCCTGACAGTTTGTTCTGCTCCCTGTGCTCTTCCTCAGAGTCTCGTGATGTTGCTGTGACGTGTTGCTCAGCTGATTTAAACAGGTTTTGGTGCCGCCTTGTTCCCAGTGGAGGATGGACAACAGAAAGATGGAAATGTGCTCACACGACGATGAACCGGGACAAGGGGCCTTTTTTACTCTCACACACCTGGAATACTGTCCTGAGTAAGTCGGACTGCAGATGGCGCTGTTGCCCTGCCTCCACTGGTAGGAAGATGGTGCCAAAACCTGTTTAAATCAGCTGAGCGACACGTCACAGCAACATCACGAGACTCTGAGGAAGAGTGCAGGGAGCAGAACAAACTGTCAGGGATGAAAACAAACTCTTGGTCTGAAAAATGAACCTAATAACATGACTTAAATGGTGTTTGATTTTATTTCTTTTATTGCCAAAAAATGTCAAATAACCACTTAAGTAGAACAATACTAAATGTGTCTGTGTGTACCTGATCTGACTAAAGTCCATTGTTTTGTTAATATCCTGATACCCCAAACATAAATATATATGGACACTGAAGAATAATGAAAAAAGTCTATGATTTCCTCACCATAACTGTCACTCCTGCTGGGACATTGATGCCTCCTATCACCGTGTCTTTAATCAGACCACGGGACGTCCCAGGGGCAGTGGGGTACAGTCTGAGCGTCTCTTTCAGCACCTGTGTACATATGGTGATAAATCATATTCATTTTGATTAGGGCTGGAAATTCATTTCATTTACTTTCATTTGGTCAGTGTATAACTCATTAGATTCTACATACGTTACATTCAGTCTGATGCCCATAAAACAAAACATATTCAGTCTGAAGAACTTCACAATCAAATCAAATCACTAAGTCAATGAGGTGCAGGCTGAAGCTGAAGCTGAAGCTTATTGTGTCCACCCTTATCTCCAACTACAGCACGCTAATGGACATTCATCTACAAAATGAATACAACATTATTACATTTTACTACATCATGATGAAACTAAAGTGTGCAATTATTCTAATTATCACAACATTGTCTTAACTGTTGTTATTCTTTCAAATATGTTTCCATTACTATTCTCTTAAAAATGATTTGAATTGTATAAGAGTGGTAGTGAACTTTGCTTGATAAACAGTGTTCCTCAGAGTCGTTCTTACATGTGGCCTGTGGAACAATATACATTATATTTACTTTCTCTCTGAGGGAACATTGCCTGTAAAGAATGAGGATTTTCATCACGTTTGACTCTGTACATGAACTCAGCCGTGTACAAATCGACCACAGTATTTTTAAAATATTTGATTGAATGAACAATGAACGATGCATGACTCACGATACGATATCAGGATATTACGATACATGTGATAATCAATATATTGACACTGAGATATTACTGTTTACTGTTTAAGAAACAAATACTTTTTAGCAACAGTATTTCTTTGTTAAGCCACTGCTTGTGCAAAGTTAGAAAGAGTAGTAAATATGAATATATTTATTTTAATGTGGAAAACTAGTTTCCTTCCACTAAACGAAACTAAATTATCATGCACTCAACACAAAAAAGCGTAAAGGTGCATTGCTGAACTTTTCTGTTTTTCCCTGATAATCTACTGTGTTGTACCTGTGAGAGATACGTCAGGTTTCCCAGGTCGTCGTAGCTTATTTCTCTCTTCATTCCAATGACTTCATCCACCTCTTTCTTCGCTCTGGGGAGTAATAACGATGTAATTCAAAATGTTTTGTACATGTAAATGATCTGTAGTTATTTAGTTCACGTCATGATGTCTATACTTCTCTAAAATATCCGGGTGTCGTCCCAGTTCCATGATACAAAAGGCGAGTTGATTGGCGGTGGTCTCCTGGCCTGCAATGATAATAGAACACTTAGTAATAACAGGATAATAACATGGTAATAACATGGTAATAACATGGTAATAAAGACAAACATGAGGCAACTAAGCAAAGCAAAAGCCCTCACCTGCGATAAAGAAGGTCACAAAGTTGTCCAACATAAACTCTTCATCCTCCTTGGTCATGCTTTCCTCTGAAATAGTGGAAACATGGATTCATTAAGATGCAGCAATATAAGGAGGAGTTCTTCACTCGTCCAGGACACATTTAATGGAAAGAAGAGTCCAGACGACCAGATGACCAAGAAACCTTCTCTACATTTCAACTTGAAATCAAAAATGTAGAGTTGACAAAGTTGCCTTTTGGTTGGAGGAGGAATAAATATTAACATAAATGAGGGGCAACAGTGGTTGGTTGCTCTTGTGCCTACCCTGCTCACACACTGAGCAGTTTTTCAAACTTTATTTATTTTATTTTATTTTTTTATTATATCATGGGATATTAACCAAGTAAGTAGTGCAGCATGTGCAGTTCAAAGAACACGACAAAGAGACTGTTAGATTGTGTGTTTTTTCCTGTATCCATGGAAACTGTGCAAGATGCTAGCTGAGGAGCTAGTTGAGAAGTTAGCTATGGATATTTGAGATGCTACAGGTGTTTTACACCATCTGTAGAAGCAAATGTGACAGAAGACCTTCCAGAGGAAATACTCCAAGGGACACTCCCACATTAAAAAGAAAGTAGAAGGGCTGGATTGTCAAGCAAAAGTAATATCCTTTGTTTGCAGTGGCAGTGTTTTGTTATTTGTTGTGTTCACCTTGTCCGGCTGATTTGATGATCTGTGTGAGAATGTCTTTGGGCACCTCCTCTCCGTTTTGCATGGCCGTCTTCCTCTCATTGATCCACTGAGCTCCAGTGGAACGCAGCAGATCACAGGCTTTCCTCACTTCACTAATGTACGACCAGTTCTGAGGTCTGAACTGAAGAGTGTGAGATGTTTATTAAAATATACAAATGTCAAAGTGAACACAGTAAATACATTTCACAGGAGCATGAATATCACTGACCTCGAAGGTTGCATCTCGGACATAGTGACATGACCCCTGGAGACACATCTCGATGGCTCTGGGGAACGGTGAGGAGTACCTAAGCAGGTCCAGATCAACTCCGAACGCGACCTGAGACACAAGGATGAACAAAGAGTTATAATTTACTCCTTTATGCAAGAAGAAAATGGATATATGACTGGGCTATAGTCCCCAGTGCCCCAAAAACTGGAACAAAGACTTTTTTCCTGTTTTTTTAAATGCCCCAACTTCATTTAGAGCTATTTTTTTCCTCTAACTATGTCAAAACATTAAAAGTAAATTCAAAATATACCTTTTTAAAAATAGCATAGACTTTGAAGCACATGAACACAATGGTTTACCTTAAAAGGTCTATATTACGCCATTTATACATGGAGATGTTGCAGGTGTTTGTATCGTTAAAAATACCTTGAAAACCATGCATTCTTACTGTAAACGAGCTAGAAAAGTTACATAGCACATCTTTAAATTTGGTTCACCTCCATCTTATACATTTTACCTTGGCGATAATGTCCAGTGCGACGCAGTTGACCAGATGGAGCATGTTGGCCACGGTTTTGTTCTCGGCCTCTTCAGAAAGCTTCTCCATCAGTTTGTCTGCTCTCTCATTAAAGGTGCTCGTCAAACCTCTCAGATATCTGCATTCAAACAGGACAATACTGAGGCCCATTTACTATTACAATCAACATTTTATATGGAATGTTTTTATGAGTTTTTTTGTTGTTGTTGTTCTGCTTTCAGGTTGAGCCAATCACTCCTAAAGAGAAGTTATTTTGCATCTTGGAATCTGCTCCCACACACCCAAGACTGTGCAGTGTGACTACAATGTAAAATTTGGGAAAAAAAACTTCCCCCATGGCAAACAAATTTGGACTTGGTACCAAAAATGTAAAAATGAAGGTTGCTTATGCAAGACTAAAGGATTACATATGTGTGCGAGCAGATTCCAAGACGCAAAATGACTTCTCTTTGGGAGTGAACGGCATGGCTCAACCTGAACAAAAATAAAAACATTAAATATAAAATCTTAATCATTTTCTATACGTTCTATAAACATTTTAGGTTATTTCAACAAGAACTGCCAAAATTACTGGCCTGCGAAATTATGTCAAATTTTTTGGGACACCTTCTATATTGTAAATGGTCAAATTTTTAAACAGTGCTTTTCCACCTTCAAGGCTCAAAGTGTTTTACATCAAGAAACCACTCACTCATTCACACACACATTTATAAACCAATGTACACAGACACCCGGGGGTGAGGTGGGGTAAGTGTCATGCCCAAGGACACAACAACAGTATTCATCTGCTTTACCAATGATGTTTATGTCGAGACCAGGATTCGAACTTTCAACCTTCAGATCAGTGGACAAAAACTCTACCAACTGAAGTACTATCACCCAGTTTACATAAATGGTCACAGCTAATGGGTCAGTCCATATGAAATCAGCCGCCCTCCCCTAAGAGCCAGCTCAGATTTGCCTGATAAAATATTTGAAACATTTCTAAAATCACCAAATGAAAGAATCTCAAATTTTAGTTCAATCCCTTCAGTCATTCCTGAGTTATGGCCCGCTGAAATTTTGGGGCCAAGCTCACTTTTTGGAAGCCTTAATTTTTGAGAGACCATAACTTCATAAAAAATAAAGCTAGAAAGCTGAATTTTTTTATTATTGTAGATTCTTGGTCATAGATTCTGAATCTGTTGTCAAGTATTGGGTATCTTTATTAAGGAGGGCGCTGTGGGCCCCCAAAATCTCAAATTTGGTTGTCGCTCAATTTTTCCTTTCAATTTTTGAGGTCCAAGATCTATTTACTCCAAGAAGATATTCACAAACTAACTGTTGAACCTGAATATATGAGAGAATGACCATTTCTGACAACAATCTCACACTTTTCTGAGCTTTCATGTGGATGGTGTAGAGTCCCAAATATGGTCACAGACCAAATGTGATCTTTTTGGCCCCTTCTTTGGACCCTCGGTTCCCCATGTGGCACAGTTAGATGTTGATAAAATTTTTACTAGAGGAACTTTGGCATATTCTGATTAGTTTAAAGTAATAAAAACATTTATTATTAACTTCTTTCATTTCAAATGGAATTTTTGAAAATGATCTCTCACAGGTCCTTTTTGGTGGAGCTTAGGGACTTTTCCACCTGCAGAAAGGTTCAATTATCTTTAATAGACTTAAACACTATTTGCTTGTTATTATAAGGATCTCAAAGGATTAATGACACTTTTCCAAGCAATCTCCAATCCATTCCCTTATAACAAGCAAATACTGTTTAAGTCTATTAAAGGTAATTGAACCTTTCCAGCAGGTGGAAAAGTCCCTAAGATCCACCAAAAATGACAAAATGTGAGATTTTGGGGGCCCACAGCGCCCACCTTAATACAGATACCCAACATTTGAAAACAGATTTAGAATCTATATCTATATCTATAATAATACAAATTTTCATCTTCCTAGTCCTATTTTTTATGAAGTTATGGTCTCTCAAACATGCTCATAAATTAAGGTTTCTGAAAAAGTGAGCATGGCCCCAAAATTTCAATGGGCCCTAACTCAGGAACGACTCAAGGGATTGAGCTACAATTTGAGATTCTTTCATTTGGTTATTTTAGAAATTTTTTGAATTTTTTTCAGCCAAATCTGAGATGGCTCATAGGGGAGATTCCTTGAAAATGGCTGATTTCATATGGACTGACCCTAATCCGCTATCCATCTACTGTCTTTTTCGGACTATAAGTGGCTCCAGAGTATCACCACCAGCCAAAAAATGCATAATGAAGAAGAAAAAAACATACATGAGTTGCATTTTTTGGGGGAAATTTAGTTTATAAAATTAGGGACCAAGAACCGACATTTCATCTTGAAAGGCAAGTTATAGAAATAATAACAATAGCATAAAGAACAACAGGCTGAATATGCGTCAATGTGTTAATGTAACATATCAACAATTATTCAGATAACTATAGCATAAACAACAGAACATAAGTTTACCAAACTCTCCATCTCACTCCAAATCACTAAATCCACTGAATCCATTGAATTTTTCATCCTCGCTGTCACTTCTGAGCAACTCCGCGCAACTTCCGTTATCACAGGAGTCCATGTGTGTCATCCAATGACTTCCATGGAAGTTGCATGGTGCATCCGCAGTGAAGCTGTGTTCTCCATCCTCTGCTTTCTGCCAGTCCCTCACAAGTTTCTCGCTCACTCCAAACTTTCTTTCTGCTGCTCAATTACCATTTTCTGCTGCATATTTCACTTATTTTCAAAGAGCCATGATTTCACTACTTGCAGCAGGACAGTGGCTTTTTCTTCAGGAGACATGCACAGAAAACTGATCCACAAGCCTAGAGCACCTTCTCACAGCTGTCATTCTGAAAATCTTAATATATAAGTTGCACCAGAGTATAAGTAGCAGGAAACACCCAAACCATGACAAAAGTGCGACTTATAGGTCCGAAAAAAAATGGTAAATAGGAAGTGAGCATGGGGACGCTTCCAGCTCCATCCACTCTGGCTCCAACTGACTTTATATTGCTGCATGAGCCACTTCATTTTGGCCTTATAGTGTTCATATTCTCCTCAGAAGAGCGGGACCCGGCCACGGATAAAGCGGAAGAAAATGGAGGAATGGATGTTTGTATTAACCCACTCTACATGAGCCTAGCGTTTTTATTTCGACTCATATAACTGCTCGCCTGGTGAGCTTCATTGGACTGGACCGAGTGCCATGGGTGATGTCACACTTCCTCAGTCCACTTCTATATACAGTCTATGGTGTCACCCCATGTTCTTCTTCGCAGTATAAAAATAATAATGAATAATATAAGTAATCATTGTAATAAATACAAGTATGTGCAGTTGTGGCTCACAGGCTGCTGAAGGCGGGGTCCATGATGCGTCTCTGTTTGTACCACTGCTCGTGGTCTCGCGCTGTCACCAGACCATTCCCCAAAAACCTAAACAAAAGTAGAAAGGATATGAAGCAAAATAAAGAAAATACAGATTGAAAAATGACTCTGTTTTGACTTTTACCTTTGACCAAAAAGTTTGGACACACGCTTGAAGAAGAATTTATCTTTGGGGTATTCTGGGGACATGAGAATCTCCTGAAATGATGTCAGAGGAAAGAAAAAGGATTTAAATTAGAATTGTATCAACCAGGAAACTAAGCCTAGACTACACTTTATCTGGGGTTGGGTCGCGGGGGACATTAGTCTGAGCAGGGACTCCCAGACTTCCTTCACCCCGGACACTTCCTCCAGCTCCTCCGGGGGACCCCAAGGCCATCCAAGAGACATAGTCCCTCCAATGAGTCCTGGGTCATCCCCAGGGCCTCCTCCCAGTGGGACATAAACACGATCCGCCTGTCAATCTCACGCTCCATCCTCCCCTCACTTGTGAACAAGACCCCGAGAAAGATCTCCACTTGAGGCAGGGACCCTCCATCCACCCGGAGACGGCAGGCCACCTTTTTCCTGTCAAGAACCGTGGCCTCTGATCTTCATCCCAGCCACTTCACACTAGGGGTGGCAAGGTTCATGAAAAAAAACAAAAAAAAAACATTCGGTTCGCTTGTCACGGTTCGGGATGTGTGCGTACCGCATGATTTCCACAGTTCCTGGCTTGCGCATTGTAGCCTCGTGCCTGTATGTGACCTGTTTCGCTTTGACGCAAAAGAAGAGGTGTGGAGGGTGAAAGCTGCACATCACATGTAGAAATGGCAAATAGAGAGAAGAGGGCCGCCGGAGATGGAGGATGCACCCGTGTCTTTACCTCACAAAACCACAGCTACGCATCAACGCAAAGGCAGCTCCACCGGCAGCTGCAACAGGATGTGCACGCGTGCAGCTCTGGCTCTGTATTTGTCAATGGAAAAGACGATCAAACTTGACTGGGCGCGTTTAGCCATGCAGTGGAGCCAGGATCTAATGCTCATGCGCATTTCGCCCTATGCAAATGTAAAAACTGCAGCTTTTGGACATATAACTTTTAGAATGCATGGAAAATGAATGAGGGCTGTACGTGCTAGACGTGTGTATGGAACAACGCTTCCTGCACTCATGGATTTCAGAAAATAGGATCCATCCTATTTTTTGATGCTCTACGCGAGTGGAGGCGCATATCCCCATCAAAATACACAGAGAACATGAATCTTTAGTTGTATTTGTGCGTTTACCCTCAGCACAACGTGTTCCTGGGGCAGATCTGTGTCATGTGAAAGAGCCCAGGTCCAGAAATACTGTTAATTAGTGTTTTAAAATTAACTTTTGAAATCCTCTCGTTTGCTGTGGTGAGCCTGTACAGAAGGTAAATACAAGTCTGTTCAGCTGTTAGTTTCACTGTGGACCTGATACAAGCGGCTAAAAGCGCCTCTGTCAAGTTTGATCGTCTTTCCTACTGAGAAACACTGAGCCAGTGCTGCGTGTGTACATCCTGCTGCAGCTGCCAGTGGAGCAGCCTTCGTGTTGACACGTGGCTGTGGTTTCGCAAAGTTACGTGCGTAAACGCTGATGCATGCAGTGGAGCCGTGCAGCCAAGAGTGCAATCTCACTAAACCAAGTATCCCGACTCCTGAGGAGGGTTAGGAAGGTGGTAACATTTTTTCACTGAAGCTCATCAGCTGCATGTCCATTAATAATGCGCTTAAAGTCAAGTCAAATTCAGTTTGAGCATGATTACATTATTAACTATAACTTTATACAATTTTTTGATGTTGTATCCTAAATTGTGGATAATTAAGATAACATAGCATATGCTGAAGTATATCTCTGGAGATTAAAGATTAAAAAGAAATAATGACAACAGGAACCGTACCAAACCGAAAAAACTGTGACCTTAAACCGCAATACAAACCGAACTATGAATTTTGTGAACCGTGCCACCCCTACTTCACACTCAGCTGCAAACCACCGTAGTGCACATTGCATGTCCTGGTTTGATGGAGCCATTAGGACAACATAATCTGCAAACAGCAGAGATGAGATCCTGTGGTCCACAAACCAGAACCCCTCCGACATCTGACTGTGCCTAGAAATTCTGTCCATAAATACAATGAATAGAACTTGTGACAAAGGGCAGCCCTGGCAGAGTCCAACATGCACCGGGAACAGGTCTGACTTACTGCTGACAATACGAACACAGCTCCTTAAGATACTCAGGATGGATCTCATCCACCCCTGCAGCCTTGCCACCGCGGAGCTTTAACCACCTCAGTGACTTCAGCCAGGGTGATGGATGAGTCCGCCTCCGAGTCTCCAGCCTCCAGCCTCTGCTTCCTCCTCAGAAGACGTGACACTGGGATTGAGGAGATCCTCAAAGTATTCCTTCCACTGTCCGACAACCTCCCCAGTCGAGGTCAACAGCTCTTCCCCCGCACTATAAACAGTGTTGGTGAAGAACTGCTTCCCCTTACTCTGACTTAGGTAACAAAACTGAGTACTTCTTTCACCACTGTGAAGATGTTGAATGAGGCTTACCTTTGTAGCCTCTGGGCAGTGCACTCCAAGCAACACATTATGTAGTATGTTGATCCTGTACACTGGTCCATATATCTCTGACCTAAAACAGGAATTTATTTACTTTACATAACATGTTACAATAAGTAAATCAATACTAGAGGAGAGTGCAGAAGGCTGAGGGGTTACACTATATTAGTAATACTATTACAGGCTAAATGTTGAAACACACCCCAAAACACATAACATCTACATAACACATGAACAGAGTGCAGTATTTTCATTTGTTAAAGGGCCAATATTATGCTCTTTTCTCATCTGTTATATTGTAGTTTCCTCATCACAAACAGACCTGGAGGTGTGTTTTGTTTCATTCACTCATGTTTAACACACAAACCCTGCATATTTTGGTTGAGTCTGTCTCTCAAACACTATTCCACCTTGTGATGACATGTGGCAATGCAGGAAGTGCTCCACTGTGTTTTCACCTAAAGGTAAAATGTAGTTGTAAACATGAAAACTGCCACTGCATGACATCACAAGGTTGAACAGAGCATTTGGAGCTTTGGAGATGTAGACAGACTAATAATAAAGAGTTACTCATGTAATGTATTCTGTAACGTATGTGAATAGCGAAATCACATTTTATATTTCCCTACTGCTACCCGTAGCTACCGTTATGCAGTGATAATAAATGCAGTATAAAGATGCTGTCAGGAGTGGGATCATAGAGGGTGAAGATGGTGGCTTTGGAGGTACAGCTGCACATGGCTGCTCCTCAGCTGCTGGTGTCTCTGGTGGTTCACAGCAGTGCTCTTCCTCAGGTGTGATGTGATGTGACTGGTTGATATTTGCCCGCGATAACCCAGGACTAACCCAGGACTAAGGTGCGCCCGTGTAGACCGTTGGGTGACTGCAGGTGAAAGGACCGCTGCAGAGCTCTGTGCTGCACGGAGGTAAGTGCAGCCGTCGCCTGATAGCACTTTGCGGACACCCTGCTCTGCGTGCTCGGGGCTCTCTCTCTCTTAAGTCCAGGGGTACCCAACGTGGAGCAGGACTCTAACCTGAACTGCTACAGTGAGAGCTGGAGAGATGCAGCGGCACTTGTTCCAAAGCTAAATGTTACGTTATATTTGCGCAATAACCAAAGTACATCTACATCTGCGCAACAAGCGCATCATCTGAGAGAGTTTTCAGTGTCGCTGGAAATATTATAACTCCAGGGGATGGTGGGTGGGGGAGGGGTGCGGTATCACCGTATACAGCGATGTTGAGCCGCTATACCGCACTGCAGGAGAAATTCCCTAAGTGCAACCGCCTTATGGACAGCACAAGCTTTCTGTAAATATCCTCAAGCGGCTTGTGGTCATTAAACACTGTGACATGTTTCCCAAAGATGAAGTGGTGAAACTTAGTGCAGGCATGAACGATGGAGAGCATCTCCTTCTCAATCTGCGCATAATGCGTCTCTGCATCGGTCACTGATCTTGAGGAGAATGCCAATCAATGGTTGTTGCGTACTAGCACAGCTCCCAGTCCAGTGCTGCTGACATCACTGTATATTTGCACTGGATTTGACACACTGTAGAACTTTAGCACAGGATGATGTGTGTAAACATGCTTGAGCTTATCAAATGCTTGCTGTTGGGCTGGCTGCCATGCAAACTCCACATCACATTTTATGAGCTGCCTCAGCGGTGCATCGATCTCACTTAGGTTTGAAAGAAAGAAAGAAAGAAAAGAATAAACTTTGAAAGGTAGGTCACAATTCCTAGAAAGTGTCATAACCTTCCTTGTCTGTAGGTGGCAGCATACACCTAACAGCTTCAGTTTTAGCAGGGTCAGGTTTCAGTCAATTGCCTGTTATCAAATGTCCTACAAAAGCCATTGACGACTGCCGACACTTGTTAAAGTTCAGTTTTAGGTTGCAGATTGTGGCTCTCTCAACTTTTTCAGTATTTAGTTGGGTTCTCTCACTGTTGACACTGCGATGAGAATGTCATCCATAATGCCTGTAGCTCCGGTGATGCTCTCTAGCATTCGGTCCGTGATGCACTAAAATATCTCGGGTATAATATTACATGATATCAGAAAGCTGTCTGGTACAGTAAGTTACCTGCATAGCCATGAAAATGCAGTTTGATCACCTGAAGATTGACGGGGATGCAGCAAATTTGTATCAAGAGTTCCAAGGATTTTGGAGCTACGTTAGCTTTGTGTTCACAGGACCCCTGTCTGTGAGTCCAAGCAGAAGGTGGGTTGGAACGGCACGAGGATTGGAGAACAAGGGAGAGAAATCTACAAAACATTGGAATGGACTGATGGTGAAAAGGATAAACAGATCGCCAGGCATCATTTCAGATAAAGGAAACAAGGTGCAACTGAAACTTTTGATCACGTTGTGAAAGATTTGAGGCTGCTGTTACTGGACTGTGAGTATGACAACTTGGATGACATGTTGATAGACGCCATAATAGCGACTGTGCGAGAAAAACGTGTCCAAGAGAGGCTGCTTGACAAAGGTGAGGAGCTGACACTGGCCAAAGCCATTGAAATCCCCCAACAGTTTGAAATGTCGCAAACGCAAATGAGAATTGTGTGAGAGGAGGATGCACAGGTCTGTGCAATGTCAAGCAAACCAAAGTTCAACACACTGAACAAAAAGGCATATAAACCCCAAGCGCAAGTGGAATCAAGGTAAATACCCAGCAAAAGGCTCCATTTGCTCCTGCTGTCATAAACTAAACCATTGGGCATCAGTTTGTCGCAGTCACTCCGTGACTGAAGTGAACATGGAGTCAACAAATGACATGAGTAAAGAGGAAATACTGAAATATTAACCTGACTACAGATGCAGTGCCAGTATCAACATTGGCAGATGATAAGTGGTTGGTCAACACTGATGTTTTGTTGCAGAAAGTGCAGTTTAGGATAGATACAGGTGCAAAGTGTAACACGCAGACTCTGAATTGTTACCAGTCGCTAGACCACACAGATGAGCTGAAAGCCTCCAAAAGAGGGCTCAGAACCTACTCCAACCACAAAATAACGCCTGTTGCAGCAGTTGACCTACTGTTAAAGAGCACAAAACGAAAGCAGAGTTTGAAATTGTGGACATTGCACAAGAGAATGTACTGAGTGGCACAACAGCAGAGGCCCTAGTCCTGATTGTGAGACTTGACTCTTGACAAGACAATAGGGTGGCATCAAATGCGCATCTGAGATATTTCAGCGCATCATGGACCGAATGCTAGAGGACATCACTGGAGCTATTGGCATTATGGTTGACAGTCTTATCACAGCACCCACAAGCCGAAACTGGTGAACTGTATCACACCACACGGGGCAGAATGGTGAGCGCACCTGAAAAACTGAACTTATGAACTTATTACATCCAATGCACTGCTGTAGTCAGGGGCAGGTGTAGTATAGACGCTTGAAAGGAAGTGATGTGCTAGTAACCTCTCCTTCCTACTTTAGTTGGTTTTATATATATATTATAAATAATTGTTTCACTGTTTCATTATTTCATTATTACACTGTTCTAATCTCTGAGCATAATAACAATAATATGATAGATATTTGTACTATTCTCAGTCAGTTATATTTTATTACTGACAAAGTTGGATGCAATGTATTCTGTAATGTAGGTGAATTGTGAAATCACATTTTATATGTCCCTACCGTAGCTGCCGTTATGCAGTGTAAATAAACGCAGTCTAAAGACGCGTCTCGGCTAAACTTTTAAATAGTAAAAGAATATTACAACTCAAACACATGAGTTAAACAAAACACAATTCCAGGTCTGTTTTTCGAGGAGGTAAAAACATTAAAACATGAATTAAAGTTCACAAGAGTCAGTTGTGCGTAATATAGGGCTAAATGTTAGTAAAAAGAAAACTGTTCATTTCAAAGTGCGTCAGTGTTGTAATAAAACCCGCACGTAAACTCACACTTTTACTGTTGCGTTTTTCTCACCATTCTAGAAACATTTCCTGAACGCCTCCATCCTTTTTCATCACTTCCACCAAAATTGGAGAATGGCCCAAGAAAAAACTGCATTTAAACAAACAAAATGTGCAAGTTTAAGTACGTAAACTACTTTTTCCATAATTCATAACGTACCTGGTTCGTGGCGGTCCAGGGATGTGGTCATATTTGAGATGCTGGTATTTGATGTAAAGACAATATCCGAGAAACGCAAAGAAAAACACACACAGAGACAATGAAAGGACCCGAGGAAGCCAGTTTAACAGTGCGCTTACGATTGCCATGTTGGAAAATGACGGAAAAAGACACTTTAGTCTTTAGTTCGTGCAGGACTCACAACTTCCGCGTTATGTGTCCTGATTTGATCCCGGTTTGGTCCTGGTTTTGGACTAGTTTTGGTCCTGGTTTTGGACTCGTTTGTCTATGCAGATTTGATTTGGTCCCGTTCTGGTTTAGGTCTGGTCTAGCTCGGGTTTAGTTTCATGCAAGTGTCAGTTTAACCCTCACGCTCTCCGCGGGGTCACATTGACCTTAAGTTTTTTTTTTTTTTTTCTACACTCTTGGGTCTGATTGACTGAGTAAAAATGCATCTGTTATTTGAAATTGTAGGGAGATGCAATAGAAGTAATAATAATTACAATGCAATTTAATATTAAAGGAAACAAAAGTTAAGTGAATAAAAAGTTGTGGTCATTTGCGGTCTGTTATAAACCACAGAAAACCTGGACAAATAAAGACGTGAAAAGTAAGACAATTACTACCCTCTTGTGGTTGCTTTGAGAATAGCACAAAGTATGAATGAACAGTGCTGGAAGAAGTGACTTAAGTAAAAGTACAGATACCAGAGCAAAGAAATACTCAAGTAAAAGTAAAAGCATCACTTGAAAAAAAAAAAAAAAAAAAAAAAAAAAAAAAACACTACACGTACCTGTTTAAAATGTACTTAACCCTTTCATGCATAGTGGTCACTACAGTAGACAGTTATTCAATAGTTGTTTTCTCCTATATAAATGAGTCTGAACGTCTTCTTTTCCAGGAGACCCATGCAGGTAAAAAAAAATAAATAAATAAATAAAAAAAAATAAATATATATATATATATATATATATATAATATATATATATATATATATATATATATATATATATATGAGGACATCAAGCAACAACTAATTTAACTAATCAATATAATTGTTAAAATATTCAAGTATTGATTTTGTGATTTAGGGAAATTGAGATTAATCATGTGTCCACTCAGTTGGACATCATGCATCTATGGCTATATTTAGGCTACTATTTATAGTATTGCTATACAGTTTTGTTGTTGAAAATACACCATCTGCAGTGATATTTTGGCTGAAAAATTTAATTTTTATTCTAGCAATATTTTGTGGATATTAGTACTATCGTGAACTTTTAAATGTACTACACTACATTTAACCAGAGAAAAATGAAGTTCTTTGAAGCACTGATAGTACTAGTCTAAATAACTCCAACCATAAC